AGGTCAGCAAAAATAAACTCCAACTTTGCAAAGAACATGTGAAATACCTGGGACATGATTTGTCCGCAGGGGGACGATCCATTGTTGAACACACCAACTGCAATTAAGATTGCTGAAAGAAATACTTGGGTGCATTTATCACATGTTAAAAAGATCATTTCATTGAAAAAACAGTAATTGGGTGATGATTGCAGCTCTGTGGTCAGCAGGAGAAGTCCAGAAGGTACAAAGGGGATCATCTGAAAGGGGTGGTCATCTCAATTCTGGTGAAGATTGTCTACCCTCCTGTTGATTGGTAGGAAGCAGAGAAAAGAGACTTTGTCAGCAATCATCAACTAATTATAGTTGGTATAAGTGTATGAAAGTTTGTTTGTTTTGACTGTTTTTGCTTTCTCTTCCTTAGCACACAGCTGTTAATCTGTGGCATTGGGCAGCAGGTGACCCACGGATCAGAGGTTACGTTGCTCATTGCTTGCTCAACGTGTACTGAACTGACCACTGGGACAGATTGTTGCAGAGCATCGACCTGTAAGGGGTAGGGAAAGAAGTATTAGTTAATTAAACAAAACCATTTACTTGTAAACAAACACTTTTTGTGAAACATTTGAAGGTTGTAAACCCTAGAGCAATTAACAATGCCAACACCCACTTGGGTGAAGGCTGCGATAGTAGGATGGTCTCTGACCCTCCTGCTGATCCTACTGTTTTTGTTCACATGGTACTTACACCCTTCTAACGGTATTGCTACTTCAGCACAATTAAGAACCAAGATTGAAGTGACTGGTTCCTCCGTTTCTGTTGACAATCACAATCTGGGCAGGATTAAGCGACAGACATTCAGGACATACAATCCCTGTAACACTGTTCATGTTAACAGGAAGGTCAATGCCCTGCACATCTGTTATAACAACCCAGTGATAACATCCACTGTCATGATCCCTTTTGCTTCTGTCAGGACTAGAGATGATGAGTCTGCTGCATTCTATGCTAAAAATGAGTGGTACATGTCAACTACAAAAGGGTCCAACTCTTGGGGTTCTGCTTTCACTTACACCGGCACAGACTGGGATCCCAAGGATTCCATGACCGCCCCGGAGGCTCAGCGATGGTATGAAACTCTGACTCTATCTAAAACACAAACACACCTGATTTTGACCTTCAACACCACAGGAAACCCATTACCACCCACACCACCTCTGTTGTTCACATATGCCAGTCAGCAGTGCTTTCATTTCATTCTCTTTGCCTATACCTCTGGCAAAGATCCAGGGGTGTATTTCTCTTTATGCACAAATATCACAGCTAACGAAACCTCACACTGTGAGGATTGTGGTTTAACTAGGAGCCCAACACTTAACTCAAGTATTTATGTGGAAATTCACAATCAGAGYCTGCAGTCTGATGACTGGTTCAAGGTGACTACAGGTATTTCTGCCTTGAGCAACAATTGGCTCCT